GATGCAAATACATCTATTTCACCAAAATCCAATCAGTCGGAAAAAACTCCGGTTCTGAAGACTGACACCAAAGCTTCATGTGTTAAAGCTGCATTCTCTCTAATGTCCACCAGGGGGCGACTCCTCTGGTTGTATATATGTCTATGAGAAAATGACTCTACTTCTCTCTTGATTTATTACCTCAGTAAACATTGTAAACATGAGTTTATGGTCTCAATCTCTAGTTTCAAGTCTTCTTCAATACAGCATGATGTTCATTTAGTAAGTTATGGTCCATTTAGAGTCAAACAGACCATAAAGCAGGGGATGATTTAGTTAATTGTAACATTTTGGTCATATAGAAATGTCTCATTCAGTATTTCGTTTATCCTTAGTTTCACTTTCTTGTGTCTCTTCTGGTTGCAAAAAATCAAGATGGCGACGGCCAAAATGACAAACACAAGGCTTCAAAACGTCAGTCCACAAACCAGTGGGTGGCGTCACGGTGAATAAATCCACTTCTTACATCCAGTCTTTGGATCAAATACATTTATTTCTGGCTCTGAAATCCTACGCTAAAAATGAAATGACTCATTTCTTCTTAGATGAGTGCGCCCCATTGTTGGACTGTGACTCTAAAACAGAAAGTGCTTTTGTTTTCAGGCCTTTAACTCGTACTGGTCTTTGTCTTTGACTGTAATGTTCTCATGAAATACTCAGAAAGAGTGCTGGAGATTGACGCCTCAATTGCACGTAATTTAGTCCAGAAAGCACTTTGAATTCACAATTGTTCGGGACTGAAATGTGATATTCTTGATGCTGCCGGCTTGAGATGATGATTCAATATTGTTGTATATCAACTTTTTAATGGATTGGTGCGATGATTTATGATCATATTTTTCAACAGAAGGTCTGCTGTCCAAAGACTTAATCTATTTAAACACAGAAAAAATGAGTTATTTAAGTCTTCGTTTTATAAATTAGGAGTTTAACGAGGATAATAGGTCAATGGACACAAACATCTATGTGACTATTTCTTAAGTGAGTTAGATTGGAAAAATATTTATTCATTATTCTTTTTTTTTTAACCAAATCATCCAGCCCACATTATTACCACAATTCCTTTGAAGGTGAACAGTGTTAACGTAAATAGTGTAATTGGTAATTCACGTTTTGATTCGCTCACTTGTGGTCTAATCGTTTCCTTAAATTATACATATTTAGGTGGAAAATGAGTCAGCTGACGTGCATCTGGTTGGATTTAGTTTTGTGTTTATTGTTGTAGAGTTTCCTCCGAGACAACAACAGAAAATAAACAGTGTGGGTGCTACTATGACGAGACTACATTTCATTTACGAGGACTACATGCAGTGTGTGAGTGTGTGTGTATGGTATTCATTACTGTGCCCTACTGTCATGCTGTCAACATCTCAGCCGTCTCAATGAGCCAGCAGGCTCATCCACCGAGCGACTCGAGCTCAAAAATAAAAACACACTGAAATAAAGTGGAGAAAGACCGAATATTAAACTGAGATTACCACCGTTAAAATAAAATATAACCTCTACCTTTAAAAAAATTAAAAAGTGTGCTGTCACGGAGATGAAGCAGAGTTGTAGTTGCTGCTGAGTCAGTGGAGCAAAAAGTAATTATGTTTTTTTTTGTCCCGGTTGGATGACGTCAGGATCGCAGTGAGGACTGTAAATCTGTCCAACACCTCAGACCGTTGTGGTGCAGCTGTGAGGACGGACTGTTGGCACCGTGCGCTGGCGTTCAGCAGAAGTATTCTGCCCGGTCTGACGGGGCAGCTGTAATTAAAAGTCAGGATGAGGAGCTGCCACGGCCGTCTTCTTCTGATAGAACCTGAGGGCATGACGCAACTTTTTACAGTTGGATTCTTGGAGGCAGACGTGAACTACTTTAAGACAGAATATTTGGTTTCTCCAGAAATAAGTCTTTAAAATTATTTCATGTCTTTTAACTCAAGTCTCTATGCATTAAGTGTGTCTTTGCATGCTGCATATATATATATATGTATATATATATATATATACAGTATATATATAAATAACTATATACATATATATATATATATATATACATACGTATATATGTATATGTTATGTTCATGTAAATGGGCGTAAAATATATAAGTAAACTAAGCATAATACTTAGAGAAACCGTTTTCACAAATGCCACAAATGTAAATTAAAAAATAAACAACAACGTTGTTATTGGACACAAAAGTATAATTGTTGTGTCATTTATACCCCTATGGTGAGAGCGGGCTGATGTATGGCATATTTTATACTTATACCACGTATATCCAATTTTTTGTGACTTTCATGTTTCCGGTTAACCTGAAGGATTAAATTCTCCTTCATGGCGAGAGATATTGTGACTTTCTAGAAGCTTTTCTTCGTAAATCTCAAAAAAACATTTCCACGAACCATAAAACAAGGCTGTAACATTTTTAAGGATTATTCAACTTTATCACAACGTGGGTCTTATGTTTGTCGTCTTTCTGTCAGTTATGATGACATTGAACTTACCGAGTAAGAATTGTTGCTTTCTATTGACGAGGTGACGTCTCTGGAGAGAAGTCCTCCAACAAAACATGGAGTTTGTCTCATTAGTACGATTGATACTACAGTACAAAATACAAAAATTAAAACAAAAAAACAAAAGTGTGTTAAACCAGGATTATCTGTAAATATCGGTCACTATATGCACATTGTGTTTTTTGTTGTTAAATTCTTGCTTAAACAAAAGAAAAGACCCCAAAAACAACACATGTTGAGAGACGAAGCCCGAAGTAATTCTGACTTAATATTGTGATGTTATGAAGCCACAAATCCTTTGACTTTGACCACCGTTTGCTTCCTGTTTCTTACAGACAATCGAAGCTGGTTTCTTTTAGACATGAACACTATCGTTCCCTAACCTAAACCTAGTCATTGTTTTAACTAGAACCATCTGTTACTCACTCTGACCTACTTTAACCACAGCGTTGTTTAGGGCCGGGACAATCTATCTTCTTCCATCAGTTCATTTCCTATCTCGACATATAACGACATATATCACAATGTGACATGTTTTATGATAATTCAATAAATACATCTACATGAAATAACCCCATGGTTTTCTCACTTAAATAAGAACTTTAGTGCAAAATAATCAGATTTGAGGTATATTGTGCTTGTTATTATCGATTTAGACGATATAGTCGTGTATCACAATACTATGATGTATGACTTCATCGCGATATGATTCACTGAAAGGCGATAAATAATCACATTGAATTGTCAATGCGGTGTCGGATCAGAAAACACGTGTGTCGTTCTGGAAGGACATCACAATCAGCGGGTGTGTAATGAAGAGGACCTTTTGCTTTATTCAAACTTCTCTTTTTGTGTTGAAAGAAGCTGTGACAGTCTGTGTATTTATGGAGTGTGCAGTTCACAGAGGAGGGCTGCACTTCTGCTCCCCGTCTGAGATGGATATCGAGTTAATAGAGTCGGGAGCGCCGTCCTTCCTCGACTGCACTCCTTAGAGCCGAACCGCTGTGTGTTTTAATATTCATATTGTGCGATGGTGGTGGGGGGGGAGACAGCTGTAGTGCATTGTTTGAGAGGAAAAGCCCAGCTGCAGACTCAGACGGGCTGATACGTATTACATGCATCAGATGTCGCTCACGTCAACATTTGCTCGCTATTACTCGAGCAGAATAAAACGTTCAAATCCTCCAGCGATGGATATATATAAAAAATGAGACATTAGAGAGCTCATCGGGTGATGAATGAGCTGAGGAGTTTACTTTGCATGTTGTGGGACAAGTTTACAGTCATACGACTGGATTGAAGGTCGTCGTCTGACATTTTGGTTTTGCTCTAAAGTTTCCTTTATGAGCCAAACATGAAGCTTCCCGACAACTGCAACTGAAAAACAACAACGTTTAAACGCTCGGACGTAGACGACTTGTGTCTCGTCCCATCACGATATTTATATGAGATGATTCAGATACATAAAGTATGCTGACGGCAGTCCCTTAAAAACAACAAGGGCTTCCTTCTTGAGGCGCCATTTTGAACGGATGTTCAACAAACAAAAACAAATGCATTGCTTTGTCAAAAGCTGGTAATAATGCTGTTCACTGTGTTTGTTGACATAAAGATGAAGGTGTAATGCATCAGATTACATTACTGGAAGGTTTGCTGTTTACATCTGTTGCCTTTGACTAAAGTAAGAAGACTTGCTATGATTTCTTTCAAACTACAGGCTGTTGAACTAACACCTTTCTAACACAGTTTTAAGGTGTGTATATAATAATACAATTATAATAATCTGGCGTATTTCTCTATTCTTTCTTAACTGCAAGATATTCGCAGGAAGCAAACTCTTTTTGATGCACAGTGACATCAAATCTGGGTTAAAATCAGATTGAACTTTTATGGAAAATGTGCTAAATCCTTCTAGAATGCAGGATTGTATTCCTTTAAGTATTGAAGGATACATTTATGATCCATGCTGTTAACCTGATATTGATATTGTAGGTCTATATATATGTCAGGTTTGCACCTTATTGTTATCTTTTTATGTTTGCTTTCTTCTCACTTTGTGTAGCTAATGATAAAAAATATTTAATGAGCATTTAACATTGAAATAACTATCAACTAAAGTTGAATTAACTATTCATTTACCAATTATTAATGATCTTATTGATAAGCAAACTCTTGGTGAGTTATTTATAAGTGTATCTTTGTGTGTGTGTGTGTGTTCATGCATGCGTGTGTGTCTGAGCGTGCACGAGAGTCAAAAAGACAATGAAGGGGCAAACAGGCGCGTGCGACAACCGTGAAAAGAGAGAGAGAGAGAGAGAGAGAGAGAGAGAGAGAGAGAGAGAGAGAGGAAGCGACGCGGATGACACAAACATACACACCCTCTCTGTTTCTCACACACGGAGGAGAGGAGGACGGCGAAGAAGAAGAGGAGAGAAGGAGGAGGAGAAGAAGAAGAAGAAGAAGAAGAAGAAGAAGAAGAAGAAGTAGAAGAAGAAGAGGAGGAGAAAGAGAGAGAAAGAAATCCGGGGAGAGATGCCCGCTGAACGGATGGATTTTATTTTCCCCGAGCTGTACGAGCCTCTGTGAGACAACATGGGCTGCATAGGATCCCGGACCATCAGTAAGAAACACCGCTTTCTATTCTGCCATGTGGACGGATGGATGGACTGATGGATGGATAGATAGATGGATGGATGGATAGATGGATGGAATGCGTGTCTGTGCGTTTGCAGGGCGGAGATGTTAAGAAGAAGAGATGAAGCCCGAGCAGCGAGGCACCGGCACAAATTATACTTTTTAGAAAAGCCCGGTGGGGAGTTGCAGCGCGCTGCAGACGTGATCGTCGGCTCTTTACCGGCAACTCGAGGAGTCTTTTTTTAGTGTCTGGTTAGTTTACTACAGGGATTTCGTCTCACTGTGTGTGTGTGTGTGTGTGTGTGTGTGTTGGAGCGGAGACGCGGAGGGGAGAGGCGGGACAGACAGGCAGCGGGATGTGAGCGGAATAAGATGCGACTTGACGTCCTCGTGTCCACATGGATGACACCGGGAAGACTGAGAGTGTGTGCGTGTGTGTGTGTGTGTGCGTGTGTGTGTGTGTGTGCGTGTGAGAGAGAGAGAGAGAGAGAGAGAGAGAGAGAGAGAGAGAGAGAGAG